TGTTGCTGAGATGAGAATGATTAGGTGGATGAGTGGCTTTACACTTAGAGACAAAATGAGAAATGAATATATCTGTGATAGGGTTGGTGTAGCTCCTGTGACAGACAAAATTAGAGAAAGTCGTCTTAGATGGTTTGGTCATATTAAACGTCGACCATTAGATGATCCGATTAGGAGAGTAGATGTTTTAAATTCGACTTGTGTTAAGAAAGGTAGAGGTAGACCTAAGAAGACTTGGGCTTATTGTATTAAAAATGATCTTAATTTACTAGAACTAAATGAAAATATGACACTAAATAGGACGCAATGGAGAAAAAGGATTCATGTAGCCGACCCCACGTAGTGGGATTAAGGTTTTGTTGTTGTTGTTGTTGTTGTGTAGTTTTTTCCACGTAAAAATTTCTGGTGTCTCTACTGGTTGTTTTCTCTTTTCTGAGTGTGTGCTGAATCTTTGTATCACGCTAAGACGATAATATATTACTCTACTACCGTGAATTTTTAACATTAATTTTATATATATATATATATATATCTTAATTATTTAGAGCCAAAACGAGTCCAACAATATCTTTTTAACAAACCGAACATCAATTATTCATGAATAACGAGCAATTTTGACAGCTCCACAAAAAAACTAAGAACTAGTTCCAACTTCAAAACAAAGTTGTTAATAGAGACTATAAAATTTAATTTGAGTTTTTCATACATAACAGCTCGTCTTTGATTCATTTGTTAAGCAAACGAGCTTAACATGAATATTAAAACACAGTTTTTATATAAAGAATGACAGATTTAGTTTGTAATATTTACACTCATAATTTTAAAATTATTAGTGGAAGCTCGTGCTCCCCATCAAATGAAGATAGAATGCACCATACTCATACCACAAAACACATTTCTTATAAAATAAAATCATATGCAAACATTACAAATAATATAAACATTACAAACTAAAAAGCTAAAAAAATCATATACATTGTTACAAACAAAAAAAACAAAGATTTAAACCATTTTATCGTCATTGATCTCCTCCGGGGGAAAATTGTTCGAGTACAGTTGTGAACTCAGGGGAAAGAGGAGTAGGAGTCAGCAGCACTGGACTTGTTGTTGACCCCTCCTCCGGCTCCTGAGCGGCAACACTCTCCTCGGGCACCTGGGCGGCAGCAGCCTTCACAACAGTCTCCCCCACAGCCTCCCCAGCAGGGCCTCTGTTCTTCTCATTTTTAAACAAAAAATACATTTTTTCTATATAAAAAATCATAAAGCTGCAAACTCTATTATATTTCCTCCCGTTGAACCGCAGTCGTTCTTCTAATGTCGTTCTAGTAATGGTTACTTAGGATTGTCCTTTGTTCATGGGTTAGTCTCCCTTGACGACCTCTTCTTGTCCTTAGCCATCATGCCTCAACACCGTTGGAAACTAATCGATAAACAAAGGACAATCCTCAATAACCATTACCAGAACGACATTAGAAGACCGATTGCGGTTCAGCAGGAGAAAATATATCAGAGTTTGCTCCCTTATGGTTTTTTATACAAAAAAAGTGTCTATTTTTTGTTTAAAAATAAAAAGAACAGAGACTCTGCTGGGGAGGCCAGAGGAGAGTGTTGTCGCCTAAGAGTCGGAGGAGAGGTCGACAACAAACCCAATGCTGCCGACTCCTACTATTACCCCAGAGTTCGCCACCCCACTTAACACTTTTCCCGGAGGAGACCAAAAACAATAAAATGGTTTAAATCTTTTTTTTTTTTTTGCAATAATGTATGATTTTTTAGTTTTTTAATTTGTAATGTTTATATTGTTTATAATATTTGCATATGATTTTATACTATAAGAACTGTGTTTTATGAGCATGAAATATAATGCATTTTATCTTCATATGATGGGGAGCATAAACTGCCACTCATAATTTTAAAAATTATGATTAAAATTATGAGTGTAAATATTACAAACCAAATCTGTCACTCCTTAAATAAGAAATGCTGAAACTTGCCGAAATTTTCTCTACCAAGAAACGTATTTCAGGTGGCGGAACAAACCCCAAGCACACAAGGTTTGAAATTTAAGATACCTACCCATTTTATTCCTCGATACAGAGATCATGCAGATATGACCCACCCAAAAAGCTGTTTATTGATGAAGAGCTAACGGCGACACATTTTCATGCGTCCGACGGCGAAGGCGCATCCGGCTGGTTTGTGGGAAGAGCTGCTTGGAAAGCAGGATGCTCATCGTAAGCTTCCATGAGCCTGGCAAGCGTCGGATACCGACTCTGACAAACAAGGATAAATAAGCATCAGGAGAAGCTAAGAGCTGAAACATGAGCGAATAAAACCAAAGCATATTGTTTATGCTTAAAATGCATTTGAGCATTATACAACTTGGGAATTTAAATATTTGAGGCATGCTGATTGATGAAGAAAGTTTGAAACGATGCAGGGTTAGGCGGTCGAAACTACCATGTCAATCTCGAACCTTGCCGCTGCAAGAATCGGAGCTAGAAATGTATCAGCCTGCAAGGGATGTTGGAAAAATTGTGTTAGCTTTTGAGATTTCTTGAAGCACTTGGTCCTCTTTTACACTGAATCCTTCAAACTCTAAAATCTTTGCTGCAGCCAAACATCCCTTGAAGATTGCTAAATCCGGATTTTGTTTCAACTGCGACTCACCTGGATCTCTGATTTCTGGAGGCCAGGAACGTCTAGGAAGAAAGTGTAGCTCTTCGGGGTTTCGAGAATGTCAACCGGTACGCCGCCACTCTCCCTCTCCTCTCCGGCGCGGTTTCCTGCGGCAGGCTGGTCTTCTTGGCCGCCGCCGCGTACCGGATGAAAGAATGCTAGCCTCTCTACGGCTTCCGTTATGTGGAACAAATGGCTTATGCTCGATCGATTAGAAGCGAATTTGAGAGAAAGCTCATGGTTTTGGGGTGGAAATTAGGGTTTCTGGATGCTAGGGTTTTGTTGGCACCGTGAGGGAGAGTTTTAAAAAAGCGACGGAAAGTTCTAGAGAAGTCTATACGATCGGGACTTTTTGGGAAAATATTTGCGAGCAAGACTATGGGGTACGTTTGAGGTTATTTAGAGCATAGAGTGGCTTTATATCTCTGTAATATATTTGTGTTATACTTGTGTAATCTCTCTGTAATTAAATTGTACCTACCGGAACTACAGAAATATAGAATTTATTTATAGTTTACAGGTAGGTTACAGGTAAATTACAAATAGTATAATACGGATATAGTCTCCCTATACCCTCTGAATAACCTCCCAACTTATACAGCATTACGTACGTAAGACGTATGCAAATAATTTCCCTATTTTTTAGTACAGGAAAAATATAGATGAAATGTTCAATGTAGGTCCACAAGTCTACTCATATTTGCTTTACTTGTCATACAAGTGCTACCAAATTCATTTCTATATTGATATAAAAAGTGATTGCTACATAAATAACATGTTGGAGTTTTTAACTCATGAATTGGAAAAGTTAAAAAGCAAGTTGGTTGTAGATTTAATTGATGCTATTTTGAAAATTTTGCCAAAGTAACTACAATCCACTTGTTTATTTTCAGTTTCTTTAGATTATTGTGAAAAAATTATTGCATGCGGACACCGCATGCATGCAGAGATGCATGCAGTGTTCGATCATGACCGTAAATCACGGTGATTTACGGTCATGATGTATTTCGATTTTTTTAAAAAAAAAAATTTTTTTAAGTGGAGCCACCGAAATACATCCTGACCGTAGATCACCGGACACCGCATGCATCTCTGCATGCGGTGTCCGTATGCAATAATTGATTTAAGAAGATGAAGCATCTAACATCTAAGTTGGGATCTGTAATGTATCTGAAATATGTACAAACGTATTCTTCTTTGTAACTTTAATATGCATGATGTAGCAGTTATGAATAGTAGTATGATTATTGTAAAAATTTTCTCTGCTCTATATGCTGTTTTGCATAAATATATGATGGGAACAGAATAACAGCCAGCACATATTTTTTATATTTACCAATACATTATGAAAATTCAAATAAATGTTATTTTTTTTAGAATTTAAATAAATGTTCATCATATTGTTGTTCATAAATATGTACATTAATTATAAGTATTTATAAACAGATTATGAGTTTTTATTAGAACTCATTAAGGTTATATACCCTTTTATTTCAGGGCATAAACTTGGTAGATAGACATTTTGCGCGGGAGAAAATATTACATATGTTATACATGTGTATAGACGATGGATCAGATTAGCGGAGACTGCCGTGTATTTCAATTTCCATGAATTTGATCCGTCGTTTATACAATATAACACACGTAATATTTTCTCGTTGCATCTTATATTTCTCAGAATTATTTTCATCTCACATCACTAGCAATTACGAAGCACAATAAGAATTCTTTTTTTTTTTTTTTAATTTTGTCCAACTAAAATCTCTTTGCGCGTCTAATATAATATGTAATAGGCTTCTTTTAGTTCATTGATTACTACATTTGTTATCAGATCAAACTTGCTTCGCATATTAACGAAACATAATAAACGGCTACCAGACCACTGCTATCAGGTCATCATCAATGGCCTCAGCCTCGGCCAGATCACTGCCATCTTGCCGCCTCCACTAGGTCACCGCCACCGAATTGGACTACCATTACCCAACCGTGTAACCAACAAACCACGAACGTTGTCATCGGACCACCACCTGATCTTTGCTCTCCAACAATCACCAACGCCGTTGCTATCGACGATGACGACATCAATCTTTCTAGCACCTAATCTCCACCATAAGTCTTTCTCCATAACAATAGGTCATCCCCACTTTCCCAACATATTCCACAATTCCCTTAGTGAAATCGATAATCCCCCCTTACGTAATATTACTGCTGACTAATGACTAATGAAAGGCCGGTAAAATTTTATAACATACATAAGCATTGTGAAACTATTTCAAGTGGGCTAAGCCCCTTGATTTTTACCCTTCGGGTTTTTCCTACAAAACCTCAAACTATCTTTTTGCCCAATGTCTATACACTTCAAAAAAAAGGACACAATTCTTCTGCAATTACACATCTCACACCGTAACTTCCATTTTTTGGTTTTTACATACATAACAATGTCTAGATAATTAAAAGAAAGTAGATCTACATACATAGCACACAATTCTTTTGTATTTACATATCTCGCACCTAAACTTTCATATTTACATACGCAGAAAAAAGTGCTTTAAACCTATGCATGAAAATGCCTATTTCACTTTTAAAAAGGGGGTGATGGTGCAATTTTTGATGTGATATTAAAAATTTGAGTGCTGTGTACATAAATATGAAAGTTTAGATGTGAGATATGTAAATACATGAGAATTGTGTGCTATGCATGTAAATGTCCCCATAAAAAGATATCACTATTTATTCTGCATGGATCAAAGGAGGCAAGAGAAGAATTCCAAGTCTAAAGTTTCATTAATGGAAGCAGCTCATCTCTTGCTTGTAACAACACAACTTGCCCAAATTTTCTCTACCAAGAAACTTATTTCAGGTGGTAGAACAAACCCCAAGCCAACAAGGTTTGAAATTTAGGACCTTAGCAAACAAAAGCTCTTTTTTTGTCTAACAGCAAAGGAGACACCTACCCATTTTGTTCCTAGATACAGAGATCATGCAGATATGACCCCCCCAAAAAGCAGTTTATTGATGATGAGCTAATGGCGACGCATTTTCATACGGCCGACGGCGAAGGCGCATCTGGTTGGTTTGTGGGAAGAGCTGCTTGGAAAGCAGGGTCCTCGTCGTAAGCTTCCTTGAGCCAGGCAAGCGTCGGGTAGCGGCTCTGACAAACAAGGATAAATAAGCATCAGGAGAAGCTAACAGCTGAAACATGAGAGAATAAAACCAGAGCATATTGTTTATGGTTAAATGCATTTGAGCACTATACAACTTGGAATTTAAACATTTGAGGCATACTGAAAGACGAAGAAAGTTCGAATTGATGCAGGGTTAGGCGATCGAAACTACCATGTCAATCTCGAATCTTTCCGCTGCAAGAATCTGAGGAGCTAGAAATATATCAGCCTGCAAGGGAATGTTGGAAAAATTGTGTTAGCTTTTGAGTTTCTTGAAGCACTTGGTCCTTGTCACATATGTTGGAAAAAAAAAAGAAAAAAATATGTTTTTTTTTACCTACCAACGACATAAAACATATGTGTTTACATCCTAAACACCTTAACCTTAATATTTACATAATACCCACCCAAAACATGTCCATCTTTCCAATTAACCATTCTCTGTTACCCCCTCCATCATTCTCTCGCCTCCCTTAATCCATTCCAAGTTTGCTCACCATGCCATTAGCCGTTACCTTCTTCCGTCTCACGTGTCTCTAACATCTCCATTTCCCGTGTATTTCGACGAGAATCCATTTTCCACGTAGAGAGCTCACCCAGTCACTAGCAGGGTATTCCACAAAAGGAAAGCAATGTTGGCTCCTGTGTAGAGAGCTCCTACAATATGATGCAATTACTTATTGTGTTTAATGAAATTTTGTTGAAGGGTCTATTGAAATATCTCCAATGTTGCAACCCGTCGCCAACAATTTGAATTTTTTGGCAATGACAATTACAACCCATCCCTTCTACTTTAAATTGGAGAAGTTCATAGCAAACACTTAACTTTATGTGGTCTTTATCTTGAAATGACCATAGTTAGTGGATCTGCAATTTCAATATTGTGTCATTTGCATATTTTGGGTAGTTTTATGTTTTGTTATTTATTATTCTCTATATATTTCACGATTTATCGCATGTGCATTGTGCTTCTCGAGTTTTATAGTTTAAGGTGCACTATATTGATCCTACTAATTTCCTTGAACATATAATGCTACACTTGATTTGATTTTGGACAAATTTTTTGTTTTGTTTTGGAGCTATTATGAAGAAATCCTAATCACAAAGAAGACTCAACCACTTGTATGTTGCAACAATCACTACTTATTTCTGAGATCTTTTATGTAACCTCCATACTTGATATTTTTTATGTTCGGATATTACAAATGATGCCTTACCTTCATTGCAGCAAACGCTACTTATTTCTGAGATCTTTTATGTAACCTCCATACTTGATATTTTTTATGTTCGGATATTACAAATGATGCCTTACCTTCATTGCAGCCTTATTCCAAGCAATTTGAACTCCTCATTTTGATCTATCTGTTTGCCTTATTCCAAGCAATTTGAACTCCTCATTTTGATCTATCTGTTTGCTTAGAAAACTCAATGGTTTGGCAGACACAATATTTTCTTCTGAATTATTTTGAGGGTTTTAATTGATAACTACATTTTCTTAAGTCAATTTGGATCCTAGGACTTCATGGCATATGCAAATTTTATTTTGTTCTATTCCAAGATAACTTTGGATGAAGTTAGTTGCCCCATGTTGCCAGGATTTCTCTCATTTTTTCCTGGATTTTATTATTGAATTACTTGTTGATAAGTTTTTTATTTTTTATTTTATAGATTATAGATATGGAAATACATTAAAATTAAGAGATATGTAAGTAAATCTACCTGATCTTAATCAATTAGAAGATGTTTATAAGATTTTAATATGATGTATTTTGTCTCAATCATTGTGTGTTAATGCAAGCCAATTTAAAGTCCATGATGTCACATGATAGTGAAGATATAACAAATTTACAAAATACTGATTTTATATATTATTGTGAAGTTGTTGAATATCATCATTCAAACTCTGATAGTACTGACATATATACATATAAACTGGATAATTATATTAGCGTGAAATTAGAGACTAAAAAAATTCAATAATGTCTTTAAAAGTTGGCACTCATTCTAAAAATCTGACGAGTTTAAGGCATTTCTTTCGATGAACGGCTATTATTGAAAAATTCGAGATGAAAATTGAAGTCGGTGATAGAAAAAGAGTTATTGCTCTTTGTTTATATATTGGATGCCCATCGAGAAAAAGAGCTTCAATCTGTCTCGATGATCAAGCATTTGAAGAATAAAAAATTGAAGCTTTAAATCTTTGCCCAATTGAACAGAGGTGATAATAAGCATACATCCAATTGGGTGGCCTATGAAATTATCCAATCATACCTCCAAAGCAAATTAATAGTGACCTAAAAATAAGCATTGAATTACTATTATCGTATATGAAGGTATGACAGTCCAGACAGTTAGTTTGAGACAACATATCTAGATCAGTTGATGATAATTACAAGTGAGTTCCTGCACTGAGCACAAGCTTACTGAAAATAATCCAGGTTCTCACAATCACTTGATTATAATGACACTGATCACACATTCGAAAGGTTCTATGTTTGTGTGAGGACAGCACAGGGAATGATATACATACGTAGCACCACCAAAACATCAGAAGATTGGGAGGGTGTGCAAGAGGATAGGAAAGATAATCACCACATCAGGAGAGAGATACATGCGTAGCACCACCAAAACTGTAACAAATCTAGCCCTTAAAGAGAGAAAATGAACCTCGGCGGCTGTCCACAAACTCGCACAAAAAAAATTGCTTTCCAAACACATACAATTTATATATGAACTGACTAGAAAGAAAGGAATGATATAGGAAAACATGTTAAAATTTGAAAATAATTTAAAAGGAGAGGCATTGGTTTGGTTCAGCCACACTCGCCCAATCCAAAACGCCACGCTCGATCTTCAATAGCGGAAAGATCCGTCTACGAGACACGGCCTTGCTTGCGGGACACGATCTTGTGTGCGGCTTTTGATGCACCGCATCATAAAGGCAGCCCAATCCAGGTTTGATACCCTGAAAGAGAAGTTGACACAGACCCCAATGTTGGGTCAACATGATTTCAACCAATTGCTCGAGGTGGTGTGGTGCTTCTAATGTGGGTGTCAGAGCAGTATTGAGCCAAGGATGATATCTCATAGTCTTCTTCAATGAGAAGTTAAATGAGTCCTAAAGAAAGTATTTGACATACGACAAGGAGTTTTATGCTATTATGAGAGCCTTAACAAGTGAAGTCATGTTGATAAACAAGTTCACTTTATTCACAAACCACGAGGCTTTAAGGTTCTTGAACAGTTCAAATAAGCTGAAAGACTAACATGCTTCCAAGGTCGAGTTCTTCACATCGTTCCAATTCGTGCTCAAGCACAATGTAGGAAGTCAAAATCGAGTAGCAGATGGCTTGAGCTGCCACCACTTGCTAATCACCACATGCAGACCAGAGTCATGGGATTTAATGTGGTGAAGGATCTATATGAGGGGGTTTTCAGTGAGGCCTGGGAACAGTGCTATGAGAAACCTATGGGGCATTACCATAGAACTGATGGCTATCTGTTCCACCAGAACGGATTGTGTATACCCAGATGCTCACTGAGGGAGTTTATTGTTTAGGAAAGACACAATGACTGGTTAGCATGTCATTTTGGCAGAGACAAGACCCTCACACTAGTTAGGGAACTTTTCTTCTAGCTCAGACTGACTAGAGATGTGGAGTTGTACATTCACCTAGCCAAGACCAGAGGTGAAAAATACAGAGTTGTATACACTATTACCAGTACCAGCAGCTCCTTGGGGGGTGTTAGCATGGATTTCGTAGTAGGTCTTTTGAGGTTGCAACGAAAAAAATATCAGTGATGATCGTGGTTGATAGGTTTTCAAAAAGAGCATATTTTATACTGTGCCACCAGAAATTGGATGCATCACATGTAATTGGCCTATACTTCAGGAAGATCGTAAGACTACACAGGATACCCAAGACCATTATCTCAGACAGGGATGTCAAGTTTCTGAGTCACTTATGGAGGGTCTTATGGGGCAAGCTTCGTACAAAGCTTCAATTCAGCTCAACAACTCATCCACAAAGAGATGGTTAGATAAAAGTAGTGAGTAGGAACCTGGGGAATCTTCGGAGGTGCTTTATAGGGAAGAACATCAAGCAGCGGGATATGATTCTAGCCCAAGCCGAATTTGCTTACAACTGATCCATAAGTCAGCTATGAGACACGTCACATTTGAGATCGTATACGACCATAATCCACTCACTCCACTCAAGTTAGTGCCACTTGTCCCTACATCAAAGGAGAGTGTGAATGCTGAGACGAGGGTACAGAAGATTCAGAGGATACACAAGCGGTTGGGAAAGAGATCACCAAGCAAAACCACAAGTACTAGGCGCAACCTAATAAAACTAGAAAAAAGCAACGTTTAGGGAGGTAGATTTAGTGTTGGTCAAGCTGAATGAGAGAATTCGCATGGGATCCTTTGGAAAACTCAAACCCAGTGCAAATGAACATTATTGGATCCTCAAGAAGTTAATGGCAATGCTTACAAGATTGACTTACTAGAAGATTACAACATTTATGCTACCTTCAAAGTGATACACTTGACTCCATGCTATGAGGAATCAAAAACTTCGACGAATGATGTCGAAGCTCCCCCAACCTCAAGAAGCTGGCATGGACAAACTTACTGTGGGAGTCCTGAATAGGGCTGTCAATTTGGCTCGTTGTTCGCGAACAGCTCGTGTTCGGCTCGTTAAGTAGCTCGTGTTCGGCTCGTTCGTT